ATGGGATCAGTTTCCACTGCTCGCGGAGTTTGCTTATAACAACAGTTATCAGTCGAGTATTCAGATGGCTCCATATGAGGCTTTGTATGGGAGACGATGTAGATCTGCAGTTGGTTTGTTTGAGTCAGGTGAGGCTAGGTTTTTGGGTACAAACTTGGTGTAGGATGCTTTAGACAAGGTGAAGGTAATTCAGGAGAGGCTTCGTACAACGCAGTCGAGGCAAAAGAATTATGCTGACAGGAAGGTCCGTGATGTGTCTTTCATGGTTGGGGAGAAGGTTCTACTGAAGGTTTCACCCATGAAGGGTGTTATGACATTTGGGAAGAAGGGTAAATTGAGTCATCAGTTCATTGGGCCTTTTGAGGTACTTTGGAGGATTGGGGAGGTGGCTTATGAGCTTGCTTTGCTACCCAACTTATCGAGTGTGCATCCGGTATTTCATGTGTCTATGCTCTGGAAGTATATTGGCGATCCGTCTCATGTTTTGGATTTTAGAACGGTTCAGTTAGATGATGATTTGACTTATGATGTGGAGCCAGTAGCTATTTTGGAGCGTTAGGTTTAAAAGTTGAGGTCAAAGGATATAACTTCAGTGAAGTGCAGTGGATAGATCGGCCCGTGGAGGAGGCTACCTGGAGACCAAGTAGGAGATGCGAAGAATATATCCTCACCTATTTCAGGCTTCAGGTATGTTTTTTGACTCGTTCGAAGATGAACGTTTGTTTAAGAGGGGGAAGATGTAACGACCCAGCCGATCATTTCATGAGTTACGGCTCCGTTTCCCCCATTTCTGCTTCTTGCTGTCTTGTTCAGCTATATTATGTGATATCGAGTTGGTTGGTTCGGGTTCGGGGAGGTTTTCGAAAGGAATGAGACACTTAGTCTCTTTTGAGTAAGTTTAGGTTGGAAAAGTCAACTGGATGTTGGCTTATGTGAAAAAGGGCTCGGATATGAATTCCAATGGTTCGGATAGCTTCAGGAGGTGATTTGAGATTTATGAGCGTGATCGGAATGTGTTTTGAAGGTCCGGAGTAGATTTAGGCTTGAATTGGCAAAATTGGAATTTTGGCATTTTTCGGTTGATAGGTGAGATTTTGATATAGGGGTCGGAATGGAATTCCGGAAGTTGGAGTAGGTCTATTGTGTCATTTGTGATGTATGTGCAAAATTTCAGGTCATTCGGACAAGGTTTGATATACTTTTTGATCGAAAGCGGAATTTGAAAGTTTTTGGAATTCTTAGGCTTGAATCTGATGATGATTTGGTGTTTTGATGTGGTTTTGAGCATTCCTAGGGTTGGATCAAGTTTGAATGATGTTATGAGATATGTTGGCATGTTTGGTTGAGGTCCCGAGGGCCTCAGGTAAGTTTCGGGTGGTTAAACGGATCAAATCTTGTTGAGGGAAGTTGCAGATTTCTGATGTTGGTGTTGCAAACATTTGGCCTCATGTTCGCGAGAGGACTCTCGCGTTCGCGAAGGGATGTGGTGTGAGGCAGAAAGTTTGACCTTTGCATTTGTGATGTTGTTCCCGCGTTCGCGAAGGGTTATGTTATGTGTTCATCGCGAACGCGATGAGGTTCCGACGTTCGCGTAGAGTAATGGGAGCAGCTGGGGTCCAGGTTCACTTGTGCTTTGCATTCGCGAGCTAGAGGTCGTGTTCGCGATGGGTTGAGGAGCTAAAGCTTCACGTTCGCGTTTGCGTTCAGGATGTCATGTTCACAAAGAAGGATTAAGTGGTCAACGGATTTTGTGCTTTGCGAACGCGAGGCGTTGACTGCGTTCGCGATGAAAGAATTTTAAATCGCTGGGCATAATGTTTAAAACACCATTTTCGCGATTTTTGGCCAAAGTACACCATTTTTGAGTCGATTTTGGAGCTTCTTAAGGGATATTGAAGAGGGAATCAAAGAGAACTTCTTAGAGGTAAGATTTATGGATATAATACTCGATCCTATTGTGATTTATGGTCGGATTTTGGTATTCTTGGTATGTATGAATTCGTAGGAGGATAAGATTCCATTGATGCGACTTTTATCGAATTTCTAGGCGTGGGCCCGGTGATCGGGTTGGACCAATTTCGGGATTTTTGATATAATTTGATTATTTTCGCCTGGGCTTCATTCCCTTAGCATATATTGATGTTGTAATTCTGATTTTGGATAGATTCGACGCGAGTTGAGGCCGAGTCGAGAGCAAGGGCGTCGTAGAGTAGTATTTCATCCGGTTTGAGGTAAGTAACCATTGTAAATCGGGACATGAGGGTATGAAACCCTGGTATTTTGTATTGCTTTGATAAATGAGGTGACACACATGCTAGGTGACGAGCGTGTGGGCATGCACCGGTAGGGATTGTGACTTGGTCCATCTCGTAGCGATTATTAAGCCGCGTATTTGATTTGAAATCTTATGATATCCCGTATTTTAAAGATTGATACTATATTTTGGGTTGTACGCCATATTTGAGGCCTTGTGCCGACCTGTTTAAACCCTTAGGGGTATTTTTACTACTTTCCTCACTCTATTTATTTTGAAAGCATATTCTCAGTCATGTTTTACCTGTTTATTGTTTAAATCCGGTTTCATCACTCTACTTCTTAATATATGAAAATTATTTGGGCTGAGTTCCCTGATTTCCACTGATATGCCCGAGTGACTGTGGGATTAATGACTGAGAGAGGTTTTGGACCTAATGGTAAGGATTATATATTTATTACGGATCGGGCTGCACGCCGCAACAATATTATTTATATATAGATCGGGTCGCACGCCGCAACGATATATATATTGGATCGGGCTGCGGGCCGCAACATTATGACGCTTGGGCTGTAAGAGCCCCTCTGGAGTCTGTACACCCCAGTGAGCGTAGTCGACTTTAAACTATGGATCGGGCTGCACACCGCAGCAGTTATTATGATTATTACAATTATGAGATATTATTGAGCCGGGGTGCTGAGTGTGAGTACTGTTTGACGAGAGCTGAGTCAAGAATGACTGAGAGGCTTGCCCGAGAGGCTATACTTATAAGTGATACCTTGCCCGAGGGGCCCGAGGGGCCCGCGTATGACATTTTGCTGCTTTCACTCTTCTTTATACTAAGCCTCTATTGAAAAATGTTGAATAAATGATTTCAATGAAACTGAAGTTTTACGAGATAACTGACTATGGCACTGTTGTTTTTGACTTGATATTTCTGTTGAAAACTCTTATATGGTTTTAATTTGCTCGTCACTGCACTCAGACCTTATTTACTTTAGTTACTTACTGAGTTGGCGTGTTACTCCCTGCACCTTGTGTGCAGATCCAGGTGCTCGAACAACAGAGTGAGAGCTTCCAGCACTCTCAGAGCTTTACTAGAGACTGCAAGGTAGTTGCATGGTATTCGCAGCCCTGCTTTCCTCCTTCCTATCTTAGTATTCTGCTATTTCAGACTTATGATGTATTATTCAGTCAGTTTGAGTTGTATTTAGAGACTCTTGACTAGTGATACCAGATTGTTGGTCTGTGTTGGTATTCTGTACTGGTTTTTCCGCTTATTCAGTTTTACTCATCTATTTCATATAACGAATTTGAGACTTATTCGATACTAGAAAATGATTTTTATAAAAGGTTTCATTGTGGCAAATATTTGGTTGGCTTGCCTAGTACTGTGATAGGAGCCATCACGATCGAGGCATTGGGATTGTGACACGTGGCCTTCTTCGACCACCGATTTTGAAAGTTGTACGACAGTCCTCAAGATAATTTCATCATCTTCGATCGATGACCCTATGTTTGCAAGGGTCACCATTCTGTTCTCGAGGTACATGCTATAGGGTCCATTCTTTGAATCGGTGTAAGGTTACCTGCAATTTATCCAAGTACCTCTGCATTCGATCTTATCGGACCTCGTAGGTTTTGTTGACCTAGTTAACCACGAGCTAGGAATCACACTTGGCCTCGATGATCTCAGCTCCCAAACTTTTAGCCGGCTTGAGACCTGCAATCATGACCTCATACTCGACCTCATTGTTAGTCAACTTAGGAGTTTTGATAGATTGTCTAATCGTATTGCCTGTGGGTGGCTTCAAAACGATGCCTAGCCCGGACCCCTTCACATTTGAAGCACCGTCTATGAAAAGGGTCTAGACTCCTGAGGATGTACTCGATTTTAGCAATAGCTCCTTTTCGACCTCGGGCTCGAGGGCTGGTGTAAAGTCGGCCACGAAGTTTGCTAAAATTTGAGACTTGATGGCCGTTTGAGGTCGATACTCGATATTGTACCCACTGATTTCGACGGTCCATTTGGCCAGTCGGCTCGAGAGCTCGGGCTTGTGCAAAATGTTGCGAAGGGGATAAGTGGTTACAACACAAATTGGGCGACATTGAAAATATGATTTTAATTTCCTAGATGCGCTTATTAGAGCAAACACTAATTTTTCTAAATGTGGGTACCGGGTCTATGCTTCACCTAAAGTTCGGCTAACATAGTAAACAGGAAATTGCGTACTTTGTTCTTCTCGAAATTTCTGTCGTGATCTCCGACCAGTTACGGATATCTCGCCTTTCCGTTATTTTACTTCACTCGAAGTCGATCATACTTAATCTCGATTGCTGCTGGCCTTGGTCTCAACGGACACTTCGATCTTTAGACTCGATGCCTCGTCTTCGAGCTCGTGTCTGATTCATTACGAGGCTACCCCCGATGCAACTCCTTTATCTCGATCAAATAGTAAAATTAGGTAGGCCCGATTTTAATCGCATACAAAATAATAATACTCACTTTCAAATAGGATGAGCAATATAACTTGAGATGAAATAAAAAATAAAGAATGTTATTTAATAAATTATACTACTCCTTTATAATTGGTGGACGTGCTAAAGTTTTAAACGATACAAATGTGCCGGAGGAAGTAATTTAATAATTTATACACGTGTCAAAGTCACAGAAAAAGTACAGAAGAAGACGTGTCAATCTCTTATTTGTTCTCCTAAAACCCTAAAACCTTAACATGTCTTGTCTCAAACAGACAGGTTAGAGCCGTTTAGGGTTTAAGCAGAATCTAGAAATTAGCAGTTAGAGACACTGAGAAGCAGCAGCTCTCTTCCTCAGCTGCTGTGTGTTTAGGCAAAGAATAAAATGGGGGCAGACAAAGGGAAGAAGCAGAAAGTGGATGAGGAAAACAACAATATTATTGATGAAAAGCTCATTTTTTCCATTGAAAAATTGCAAGAGATACAAGACGAGCTCGAGAAGGTAATTTTTTTTTTTTAAAACCGTTAAAAAGGGGTAATAAACGTAGAGAATTACTTAAAGAAAAGATTGAATTCTTATTATGGAGAATTAGATAGTGGCTAAAACTCCAAAGTTTTAAAGATCCAATTTTTATTCAATTTCTAAAACTTGTCGAGATTATCTATGACTGTGACATGAGAAGTTTGGAAGACCATGATATGGTTCCTTGTTCTTTATGTGAATATAAAGATCATTAGTTTATTTCTAAATTGAGTAAATGTCCAAATTCGGGCATTAAACTGTGAAGAAATTTGGAAGTATGAGATGTGTTAATTCCTAATTAATTTCTTATGATTCCAAAAACTGTGATTCTTCAGTAGAGTAGAAAATGTTAGAAGAATAATAAAGAGTATAAAAAGTCCTGTCTTCCTTGAGGAAGTCCAACTGCCAAACCTCATCGAAGCATATTTCTATGAATATATTCAGATAAATTCGTCAAATTTTGACTTTCAGCATGTTCGGTGTTTCTTTCAGATGGAAACAAAAATTTGAGAGATCTCCACTGGTCATGTACTACCTTAGCTTTCTTGATGTAGTTAAGAATTTAGAGCATGCTACTTTTCTGAGGACCTCAGTTCTGGAACTGATAGCTGTTTGACTTAATGCTTATTCTTTGTTCAATTGAATATTCAAGTCTCTTTCCTTCTTTTAATAGATGTCTACTCCAAAAACTTCTTTAAAAATTCTGTCTGATTAAGTTATACCCAATATGGTCATAGTTCAGTTCTAAGGACCTCTCTTCAGGAACTGCTCAGTTCCTTTCTTACTTAATGATCATAATGTCGATACATGGAATCCTGCAAGATTAATAGAGGATGATATTCTCATTATGGATTCAGCAGGCTAGTGTCTATGCGCTCCCCCCTACATATCTTTCTCTGCTCCCTTCACAATAAATTGAAAATCATGTTCACTTGTATGAAGAGTATATGAAGAATACAAGATGCAAATCTACGCACTTCTGGGAGCTTTGGATTTGTATGCTATATGCATACATGATATTGCTATGTGTCCGAGCTTTTTCTGAATGCACACCAAAAGCTTAATCATTCAGGGTACAATCTAATCAGAAGAGATGCAAATCAACTTCGGCAGTTTCACAATAATTAACTTGGATAAATTGCTAGAAGCTTTTCTTCTGTTGTTTAACGGTAAGATAACATGTGTAGCTCTTGGTTTTACATGTTGAATGATATATCAATTTTGCTAGCAGATCAATGAAAAAGCAAGTGACGAAGTGTTGGAAGTAGAACAGAAGTACAACAAGATCCGCAAGCCTGTCTATGATAAGCGAAATGATGTCATTAGCTCTATTTCTGACTTCTGGTTGACTGCTGTTAGTGATCCCATCCTATCCTTTCTCCTTGCAATCGCTTGACTTCCAAAGTATTTTTCACACAGTATAACTTATCTCATCTGCTTGCAGTTTTTGAGTCATCCTGTTCTTGGTAACCTTCTCACTGAAGAGGACCAAAAGGTTTGATCCTAATTTGTTTCATTTAAACTTCTAAACAACCCACTACAACTTGTTACGTTACTGTTTCTCCAATATTAACCATCCGCTTAAATTAGCAAAATCTCATCTAAATAAACTGTCAAAGTACAGTTTAAATGGATTCTTACCTTCTGATCTGAATCTCATAATGTTACTGTCCCTTTTCATGTAGATTTTCAAATTTGTAAGTTCTATTGAAGTGGAAGACTCAAAGGATGTGAAATCGGGTCATTCAATCACGTTTGTGAGTTCACCACTCTTTCTCGCTCTCTCAACAATGAAATTAATGAGTACATTAGACATCTTATGTTTTCTGGGACTGCAGAATGCTGATGACCTTCTCTTCTTTCTCACAGAACTTTAAGCCCAATCCTTATTTTGAAAATTCAAAGCTCTCAAAGACGTATACCTTCCTTGAAGATGGACCTACAAAAATTACAGCTACAACAATAAAATGGAAAGAAGGCATGGTAAGTTCTCTTTGCTGCTTGAGAGACGTTACACGTCTTTATCTTATGCTTTTCCTCTCACTATTTGTGTTTTGACTTATGAAGGGCATTCCTAATGGAGTTGCTGACAAGAAGAAAGGAAACAAGCGGTCCCTAGCTGAAGAAAGGTCTGCTAACTTTTATCTAGCATTTCTAAGGGTTTTGATTTTTTAAAGCTACTAGTTGTTTGTATCAAGTCTGTCAACTTGCAACTGATATAATGTTGGGAACTTGGTTCGTCTTACTTGAGAAAATAGACTTGCTCACCTCATTAAACCAGGTTATGATCTCTACCTTAGGAATACAAATTTGTCAATTATCACATTTTCTTAATAAAACTCACCTATAACTGGTGTGATCCTTCAAATAACATATGCCGACCTAATCTTATGTTCTTGTAGTGGGCAAAATTTCCCCCCTGCAATTGCTTCCTTCACTATGGAGTTAGAAGTCAGCCATCTCTGTTAGGAACAGAAGCGCAAAATATATTGTTCTGTCCGTCCCAAAAAGAAATGATGCGTTCAAAATTTCAAAGTCAAATCATCTAATTTCAATTTGAATTAGGACACCCATTTCTTGAATTTTTGAAAAAAAAAGTTACATATTCATAAGCTATATAAGAGTATTGCTAATTAACTATATTAATGATTTTTTTGGGCAAAATGTTTCTCTCGAGAGAAAGCTGTTTATGAGTTCACAAAAATAGTGTAACTATGGCAAATATAGTGGTTAATGTAGCTGCGTCGAAACTATTTGCACTCACTGAGTATTTCTGCTACAACATTCTGTGACTTATCCTCTTAATCACTTGATAAGTTGGTGCACCGACTGGACACATGCTCACTCCTCTGTCTTCTGTACTCTCAATCCTAGCTGTCTTGTAAATAAAAACTGAATGTCATATTCATGGTCATCCTTGCTCAGTTGCTTTTCCCTTGTTATTCCATACAGCNGTTGCTGAAATAATCAAGGATGACTTGTGGCCTAACCCTCTCAATTATTTTGACCATGTTAGTTCCATGCTGTGTCCCTTGTTTTCCTTGATCTATTAGTCATGATTTAGTCCTGCATTTTTAACTCGATAACATTATACAAAATTTGCTTTACCACAGGAGCCTGATGAAGAAGATATTGAAGGCGATGAGGTAAAGCAACATTCTTGCTAAGTTTTCATAACTCATACATTGTGCACATCAATTGACATAAAGTCGTGCTTATTCATCAGTGGCTGTAATATGTCCTCCTTTTGGGCTTACATTTATTTCTTTCCTTGGCCACAATGGTATGAGGGTGAAGGAGGACTAAGGAAAAAGTTTCTAAGTGGGGCTTGACTAATAGGATTTACTAAAATCATAAGGGCTGCAACTATATATATGATAAAGCCTATAAAACATAGAGCTACTACCAAACCTCTAAAATAACTTTCTGCAAGCAATATAGTTTTTATGGTGCTTCTGATATTTAGAAATTTATATTTCCATCTTTGCTTTCGTGGAAACTATTTGCTGCTTAAATTGTGGGGTTAAAACAGAACTTTGTCTAAGACATGAAGACACGTGAGGGAGAGAAGGGAAGGGTCTGTTGAAGGAAGTCTTTGATCAAAGTCTCAAAAGATGCAATCTTAGAAGCATCATAAAGAGAGTAGGATTCTTCTGAAGGAAGTCTTTGATCAAAGTCTCAAAAGATGCAATCTTAGAAGCATCATAAAGAGAGTAGGATTCTTCTGCACTTGTAAATATTTTTGTTCCAACCCCTTCCTGGTGCTATTAATTAAATGAAAATACCAACTTTGTGAAAAACAAATGCATCAGATAGAAAACTTTGAAACTGTAGCTTTTGGTTTTACCTGCCGGGAAGGTATTGGTTGGGGACTCTTCCATTCAGAAGATCAAAGTGTCTTCTGGTCTGAATATATCTTTGTTTTTTAGATCAAGAAAGTATCTATTCTGACAAAGTATTTGTTCCTTCTCTTCCTTTTCCCCTTGGGCCGAGGAAGAGAGGTCACCTGTTGGAAGCTTACACTGTTTGTTTAGGATGAGAGAGGGAGCAAGTTTGTGAATGTTCTTTCCCTTTTCCTAGCCGAAAGGAGGTAAAAGTGGAGCATATATAATTCCTCTAAGAGTTGGCATTTTCACCCCAGGAAAGAGGAAAGACTTCTTTTGTTTTAAACTTTGATTCCCAATTCTACCGATGAACATGAGGGGGAAGATACGCAATTATGTGCTAGTCCCCCTCTCTCTTACCTTTTCTCTGCAGTTTCTTAAAACATTGTGTTGCATGGTGGAAGCTTGACAAGGATCTAAAAGAGCATTGGCTTCCTTTTCAAGTCAAAAACACCCATTTT